TNTTTTTTACCGATTAAATTTAGTAAGATAAATTAATTAATTTATTACACATATGACTGCAGAAACAAAATAAAATGTAGAATAAATAAACTTTTCATGCATTTTATTTTAAATAAAAAAATGTTGTCGTAATACAAAAAGATTTAAATATCATATTACAACTCCAACAAAAATATATAAAAAATGAGTTCCTAATGAAAAAACAATAAATGACTAAATAAAGACATAATGTATATCATAGATGCATGAGTTCTTTTATTTATTTATGTTAGATTCAAGAGTCATTTTCTTTTATTTTGGTTTTGATGTTCTCATAAGAAACATTCATACTCGTTGAATTCTAATAGATCAATAGTATTGCAAAAGTCTTCTTAATTAATTTGGCAAAACGTCTGTTTTATTCAACACTTAGAAACATATAGCCAAACTTTATGATTGTATGATCATTATAAGGTATTTCTACTAATAGTTCATAAGTATCTCTGTGAAATAAACAATTGTAGCATTAAATTTCTTGATATTTGTGTCATTAAAATTCTTGATATTTCTTTTAATCACTGTATAAACTACTACATTTCTCTCTATCTCTCTCTATCTATCTCTCTCTCTCTCCACATAGATAAATTGGTACTTACCCCATGAGGTGAGAACGAATTTCATCTCTAAATAAAATTTAATTTTCCAAAATCATGTACTTCTCTGAAGATGCTAAATTATTTTATTAAAATCATCACATTACATAAAAATATGTACTCTAAAACAATTGCGTGTATGATCGAGCACAATACACAGTTATGATTGTAAATATTCTTATAAAAAAGTGAACTTATTCAACATTCAAAAATATTTTAATCAGTATCAAACATTCTCTTTTCAGTGTTATTAATTTGGAAGATAAATACCTTCCATATTCTTTCGGATTTGCAATATTTATGTGTCTAATAACATTTATTGAATTTATTAATTGTCCAATCTTTTGTATCATAACTAATGCTTAAAAAATTCAATATAAAGATCCTATATTGATTCTTCAATAATAACAAAAGAAAACAAAACAATGATACAATATTGAGAAGTATTTGTCAAAATATTTCAGATGAGAAGAATTTGAATTATATTATATTATGATACTCTTAGTCATCTGTTAACTTTATTATTATGAAGTCATTATTAAAGTTTGTAGTCTATCTTATGATAATATCGAATCATTATTTATGAGAACTAATTTCTTATAGAGAACATATACTTAAATGCTAGCAACTAAAAATGTAGTAATTTTAAAAGATTTTTGTTTCTTGATATTAGTATTCATACTTTTCTAAAAAAATTCAGAATTTTTCTTTTCCTCATTGCATTACTATTGGTTTACTTTTTTTTTTATTTATTTTATTCACAGATAATATTTTATTTCTTGAAAGAATTAGAGAACATTTATATGCAATGCGTTCTTTTTACGTGTTTGATAGTAATAATGTACTTGATAAAAATGTAGTTTTATATTGTTTATAATATTAAAAAGTTTTGAATTTATTTCCATGTTCTGATAAAATATTAAGTAACTAATTCATGTTTATCTTCACAAAAAATACATTTTACAACCATTATGGTGTTCCCTTTCAAGCAATAATTGAATAATAGTTTAACATACAACCGATTTTTTTTTTCTTTTAATTCACATATTTAATATTGGTAATAGTTGTACAATTACATCTAGTTGACTTTTTCCTTAGTATGAATATTTCAAATCTATGTCAGAAAAATATACCACAAGTTTATCTAATATTATTTTATAATTAATAAAATTAGTTTAACATGGATCTATAATTATTTTATAAGATTCTTTTAGGTCTATTTATTATTATAAATTGGTATTGATATATATATATATATATATATTATTTTACATCGATTATAAATAATTATATTATTTTTATTTGCAATCATGTGCAGATCCATGTTTCTCCAATAGTCCCGAAACTGGCATCATCCTAAAACAAATAGCATAAGATATCTAGCAAACA